GTGTGTAACTGTTGGGAATTTTTTTGTGGGTGGGGGGCAAAATATGTTTTGAGTTCTTTTCCCCTTAGGTCTGTCTAGAATCCCAGAGGCAAGTGACTCAAGGTAACAGAAAGAATCCAGTATAAGGATAATCAGAACACCACAGGTTTACAGTTACTAGAAACTAGAGCACGAGCAGCTCTCTTGAGGTCTGTGGCGGAGCAGTCCATTGGAGAAATGGCTGGTAGTTAATACTTTTTTCCACCCCTTAATCAGATTTTTAAAGTATGTAACCCCTTAACTTTACCTGATGTTTTGGGGTGGTTTCAACAGGGAAAAGGGGTGGGGGAGAAAATGTTTTTTTCTAAGATTTTCCGCAGATGCTATAGTACTGTTGAGAAAACTGAGTTAGAGAAGGATTGTACCGCTGTGCTCTTGGCACCAACACCTTCAGGGATTGGAGCTGCTTTTTCCCTTGGAAGAGTATTCCCAGTTGAAGCTGAAATGTACAGCACAGTGCAGCTTTGGTTCATATTCAGTCATCTCAGGAGACCTTCAGAAGAGCTTGACTAGGCCAAAAGTTGAAGTTAAGTTTTCAAATAATGTAACTTTTAAAATACCTTGTATTAAAGGGGAGGGGCAAATTTTGGCAATTAGTTGTTGGCAGTGGCCTGTTATGGTTGGGATTGGGAGGGTTGGGTTTAGGTAATTGTTTAGTTTATGATTTCAGATAACTCATGCCAGAGAACTTAAATACTTAGGATGAAAAAGCTAAGAAATCGCAACTTCCAGGTTGGCAAGTAACGCCCAATCCTCTAGATTTTGTTCTTCCCTAATTTTTGAATCGGGCAGCTGGGGAAGTTAATGAAGATCCACTGAATTCAAAGTGTAGGGTCTGGGGAAGCAGAGTGTTTTGCTGGGGGTTGGTTTAGGCCCCTGGGCTGACATAGATAACATCTTGGGAATTTTTTAAAACTCAAAAGTTGTTTGGATGTGGTAGTGTGTGGTTCTCTTTTGGAATTTTTTTCAGGTGATTTAATAAAACTTAATACTACTATAGGAACTTCAGAGCAAAGGAAGTGGCTTAATGATCCTGAAGGGATTTCTTCTGATGGTAGCTTTTATATTATCAAGTAAGATTCCATTTTCAGTTGTGTATAAGCAAGTTGTTTTTTTAGTGTAGGAAAAACTTGTATGACTGCAAAACAAGATGTTAAGGTATGCTTCAAAATTATTGTAAATTGTTTGTTTTAAGCTCGCATCTTTAAGTATTTGTAAATCGTAACTGATGAAAGAGGGTGGGCTTTTGTTGTTGAGGGAGGGGAAACCTTTTTTTTTCTGTAGACTTTTTTCAGATAACATCTTCTGACTCATAACCAGCCTGGCAATTATGATGGCCTAGATGGAGAGGGGAACAGCTCCTTGGTGAATGATAAGTAAAGGCAGAAAAGATTATATTTCATACCTCCATTGGGGAAAAGGCATAACCCTGAGATCCTTACTACTGGTGAAAACACTGTCTGCATATGCCAAAAAAAAAAAAAAAAAATGAAAGCTACCAATTTAAAGTTTTAATGGAATCTACCCTTTAAAAGTTATGATTTATCAAGCTATACCCACATAACGAATTGATGAGAAAATGAATTGATGAGCAATACAATGAAGATCAAATGTCCATCTCAAAATACTGCTTTTACAAAAGCAGAATATAAGTGAAATGAAATGAAAGTGATAATACCGCATTAACCCTGGAATAAAAGAAGCTGAAATAATTCAAAGCTGAGTGGGATCAAGTGGATTCAGAGGAGGCTGTGCTGTTTGCCAATCTTTCGTTTGCCTCAGACAGGTTTCTGTTCATTGTCAGAAGAGTTGCTTCATTTCATCTGGGAGCAGGAAACAGCAGGCAGCTGCTAACAGATAAGTTTAACTTGCATCTGCAGTATTGCATGTTAGGGATAAGTGCTACTTAATATTAAGAGCTGTGGAGGTCTTAAGCGTTAAACATGGCCACTTTCCTGATCCCTAGGGGATTCTAGGTTTGTGGAATGTTCCCATCTAGCCTCCTTAAGATGGAGACAGGACTTGTGCCTGTGGGCTTCCATGATGGGATAGCACCTCGCTCAGAGGCAGAGGCAAGTTAATTCCTCAGGAGCCTCTCCAGATTAGTACCTTAATATTGATGCAATGTTTATAAAACTAAGGAAATTTATTCAGTATTGAACCTCTGGAAAATCCTGTGAAAGGATAGCATAATGTGCTGTTAACAAGAAACATGTTGATTTGCTAAAATTTTAATGTTTTGTGATGTATATTGTGCAGAAAACTATTAAATCATTCAAAATAAAACATTTTTAATATAGAATGTATGCTTTTAGAAAGCAGCTGTCTCCTTATTTAAATAAAATATTGTTTGTTTGTAGTTAGTGTCGGGCAATCTTGGGGGGATTCTTCTCTAATCTTTCAGAAACTTTGTCTGCGAACACTCTTTAATGGACAAGATCAGGAATTGAGCGGAAGAAGAAATTTAACTTAAGGCAGGAAAGACAAATTTTATTCTTCGTAAATGATGAGCATTTAATAATTCCAGGCACATGGCAATAGAGGCCCTCTAAATAAAGAATAAGTACTTCTTAGACAGGTGGGAGATAATGATCAGAATAACAGGTAACTACACCTATGCTGTTTCCAGAAAGTCAGGGCTCTATAAATTGGCAGTTGTTAAACTAGAGCGATGTAATACTGTCCGCATTTCCAAAGTGTGCATGTTAATTTTCAATGCTTATGGTCATCTCATCTAGTGTTAGCCAGTGTTTACACTATTGGCCTTTTATATGGACACTTGGGGGGCATGTGGGTTTTTAAAGAATTTTCCTTTGCAGTGGCTTCATTTCATCCCTCATGAAGCTGTTCAGGATTTTGACTTGCACATAAGCGCTTGGCTCTGCCTTCTGTTCTCCTAGTGAATGTGTGAGACCTGGCAGTGAGTTTATCAGCATACACAAGTAAAAAATTTTCCCCATGATTTTGGAGGGCAGGGAGGAGAGGGTGGGCCTTACTTGTTTAGCTTTTTTTTTTACAGACTACACAGAGAATGCAGTTGTCTTGACCTCAGGTCTGTCTGTTCTGTTGGCAAGTAATAATGCAGTACTGTTCTGATCTGCTATTAGAATGCATTGTGAAACGACTGGAGTATGATTAAAAGTTGTGTTTCCCCCAATGTTTGGAGTAGTGATTGTTGAAGGAAAATCCATCTGAGTGATGAAGGCTGAGTGTTGAGGAAATTTCTGCAGCTTTAAGCATTCGTGTTTGTGATTGAAGCCAAGTACCTTTTGCTGTGCTTTTAGGTAAAATGCTTTTTGTTTACTCCTGGTAGGGGAGGTGGGGAGGGCACTGAAGCGTTTAGTCTTTTCCAGATGCAACTTTAAAATCAGTGACAAGACATAAATCCCAAACAAGCAGCAGTCTTCAAGAACTTTTACTGGCAAGTGGAAATGTTACAGTTCAGTGGTCTTAGTGCATTGTCTTTGTGTGGGTTTCTCTCTCCCCTCCCTTGGTCTTAATTCTTATATGCAGGAACATTCAAAACAGCAGACGTATGCGAAGGGCCAGAGAAGCCAGACCCAGTAAGGAAAAATAGCTTATTTACTTTAAACATTCCATTTTAAATGTGGGGAATTGGGAACTACTACTAGTTCTTTCAGATGGTATTCTTCAGACTATAGAAGGAGCTTCCAGTTGAATTCACCAGTGGACAAAATGAGGACAACAGGTGAACAAGCTTTTTCTGTTTACATACCAAGTCAGATCCATTGTGGGTAAATAACTTAGCGATAAATAGATTTTCAGCTTTATGCTGAAGTAGCTAGCACTTGAGCAAGTTGTTTGTTGGCCTGGGGGTGGAGGGGTGAGGTGGGCGCTAAGCCTTTTTTTTAAGATTTTTCAGGTACCCCTCACTAAAGGCACCGCGAAGGCTTAAAGTAGGACAACCACGGAGCCTTCCTGTGGCAAGAGACAACAAAGCGCTAGTGTACTAAGGTCAACAAAAATGGTGTCGGCCTCCTAACCCCATCTATCAGAAATGAGGACCAGCCTCAACGCTGGCAGACATGGCATTGAGCTTCTGGGGATTGAAGCATCCAAGGGAATGCTTAAGTACCTTGTAAATCCCGGGGCTTACCCGAACAATGAGGCTGTTTTTATAGCAGCTCTGAAAGCCCAAACCTCTAAGTGATGCTTGAAGGGGAGGGAAGGGGAAAGCGGGCAACCACTTTTCCCTAGCTTTTCCAGAAGCCTGTTAAAAAGCAAAGTCTCCCCACAAGTGACTTCTCTGCCACATCGCCACCCCCTGCCATTGGCCTAGCGCAGACCCTTCACCCCTCACCTCGATGCTGCCAGTAGCTTGGATCCTTGTGGTCATGACCGATATCGGTTGCAAGGTAACAGTGGTGCCGAGGTCCTCGGTGGGTTGCACTGCTAGAGGCCATTAATTTGCCTGCAAATGGTTGTTACTAAAACCACAACTGAAGGCTCTAAGATGTTTGAAATAACACTATTCAGTGGTTAAAACAGACTAGTCAATGCAGAATAACATTTTAAGAACTGTAATGTTGGGTGGGAAGGTGTAAGTGGAGACAAGCTCAGTGGTCGAGAGGGCTGATGGGTGGGAGTGCAAAAATTCTCTGCTAAGACTTTTTCAGGTGAACATAACAGACTTGGCCAAGCTAGCATCTTAGCTGAAGCAGATGCTCCAGTGCTCTTCAGTAGGGCTGTAAAGGTTTTTCTTTTCCTGAGAAAACAAAATTTTGTTTTCTCAGGTTTTGCTTTTTGGCCTTTTCCTAGCTTTTTTTAAAAAAAAAGCAAAAGATGCTGGTGGTTGGCACTCCTGGTTTCCAGGACGGGGTTCAAATCCCTGTGGCGTCTTTGCTTGACAGTAACCTCTGCCTTCAGGACTCTGCGTCCTCTTACCTTCAGCCAGCTGCTAGCCAGGCTCTGGAGCTGGGAATAAGTCGCTTTTGAATGTGTCAAATCTGTATCAGTTTGTATTTACATGGGAACATAACTGCCTTGTCTTTAATTTTCAGGTATTCCTCGTGCATCTAGTCTTTGGAGAAGCCTCACAAAAACTTGCAAGATTTCATATTAATAAAAATTGAAAAGCTCTTCATTGGTTGTGATTGTTTTGTGTATAAACCAAATTTCTGTCCATGAGTAGATGGGAGAAGATGGGTTTTTCGTGGGGATTCTGCCGTGTTGCTGTTTAGTTTGCCTAATAACAAGTACACATCACTGCTACAACATACTCTTCAAGTGGCGGGGGGACTTGGAGGGGGCGTGGTGTGGGTGAGTGATCTAGTAACATGCCCTCAGAAACATGGGAGCTTTAAAAAGGCAGCCTCTTCCTGTTGTCTGTGCTGGGGTGGAGAGAAGCGGCTGGGTGACGAGGAAGAGGGTTTCCATGCCTTCTGTGAAAGACCCTTGTAAATTTAATTGGCAATTTAGCCAGTAAAAGCTCTTCAACGTTCCTTAGGATGACTTCATGGTCATTTTGGTCATTAACAGTTTTTTCAGTGCTCAAACCTACAAAACAAGCTCCTGATGGTGCCCTCCCTTCTGGAGAATGGCCTAGATGTCAGGTGATAGTTCCTCTTGCAAATGAAAGACTGAAGTATCCCTCGTCTCCCCTTGGCCTCTCAATTCCAGGGGCGGTGTCTGCTTCTACTCCAACCCCATTGCCTGAGCAAGTGTGAGGCTCAGCCCAGTAAGTGCAGCCAAGCCTAGGAGAGGGGGTGCAGCCCTGAAGACACACCCAGCACACTAACCAGGGGAGCCTATAGCCAGTGGCCGCGTGTTCTCAGCCCAATGGAGGCACTTAAGTAAACAGCTTTTTCCTACATTACTCAACTGTGGAAGGGTGACTACTATGCTGCAAGTGGGGAAGCAGGCTCCAATGAGTCACTGTCAAGCCAACAGGGCTGGCTTTTGAACCCGTCAATCTCCAACGCTTCAACTCTGTTCCTGTTTCTTTAGTGCAGATGAAGCGACTGTCCAGGTCAGCAGCAGACTAACCACCAACCTGCCCAGCTTGTGCAGACCCTGGGCAGAGGGCCTTTCTCTTCCCTGTAAGTGATTTAATGGGGTAGAGAGAAGCTGACCTAGGACCGTGGCCTCCCTTCCCAGTCTTACCTGAGCCTCTTATGGAGAAAGTCTTTCCCCATTTTCCCAGAGCTGGAAGGCTCCCTGGAAGTACAGACTTCATTGGGAGCAAAGGAGTGAGAAGGGGCTGGGGATTTGCCAGGGGCTACTTGGTTCCTGGTGTGGAGCAGGCTCAAAGTTGGCTGGGTTTGGAAATAAAAGCCAGACACAGTGACAAAGGGGCAGAAAGTAAACCAGAAGCTAACAGAAAATTTCCCTGAAGAGTATGTCCAAGTCAAGGGGCAGGATCTTGATAGCATAAACCCCAGGCATGTCCTTTGTATAGCCCTCCAGCTGCACAAAGGGCTCTCACTTTCGTTTCCTTGGATTTCATCATCCTGGTAATCCCAGTTGGGGACTAAACCTGAATTCATGTGGTAGCTCCAATTGCCAGCCTCCCTGAGCTTCCCCTCAAACCTCCACCCACACCTGCCAAGGACTAGTTGGTGCAGACCTGAGCAGCAGATTTCAATGACATCAGTAAAGGGGTGAAACTAGGAGAGAGGACTCGGGGGCAGGGGTTGGGATGAGGTGGGGAATGAGGAGATGGATAAGGTGTGGGGGAAATTGAGATGTGGGAGTATCTACCTGGGTGGTTTATTCGGAAGCCCAGAATATCTAGGGAGACATGGATTGTCAGATTCTGGCTCCTGGCTCTGACAAGTTGGCAAACTTGGAGTGTCACTTGCCCTCTCCAGGCCAGGTTTTCTCACTGGTTAAATGGGGATAATGGCCTGTCTTGCTTGCTGTGATTAAGAGGAGCCACAGGTGACGTAGTGATGAAACTGGAAATAAGTGGGCTTTTGCCGCCACCTAGTGAACAGATGCAGTATTGCATGTCCTTGGACTACTTCGTGATACACTTGTATATTCAACACATTTTTAGTGCCAAGTAATATTCCGTTATATGGATATTATACTATGAGTTATTTCTAGCTTTTGACAATTATGAACATTTACGTACAAGTCTGTGTAGACATATGCTTTTCTTTTTCTTGGGATGTTGAGTGGTAGGTTTATGCATAGTTTTTAAGAAATTTCCAAACAATTTTCTGGAGTAGTCGTACCATTTTGCATTTTCACTAACAGCGTATGAGAGTTCCAAATTTCTCCTCATTCTCAACATCATTTGCTATGGTCATATCTTTAAATTTTAGCCATTCTAGTGAATATGTAGTGGTATCTCATTATGGATTCAATTTGCATTTCTCTAATAACTAGTGATGTTGAAGATCTTTTTATGTCCTTACTTGCCATTTATATATACATATTTTTTGGTAAATAATCTATTTTTTTTGTCAAGGTTGTTATTGGGATGTTTATCTTTTTACTGTTGAGTTGTAAGAGCTTTTACACATAGTAGATACAAGTCCTTTGTCAGTGCATGTTTTGAATACATTTTTGAATATATTTTCTTCTGGCATGTGCCTTGCCTTTACATTTTTTGTAGCTGTATCTTCAAAGAGTAGAAGTTTTAAACCTTGAACAAACCTTTGACATGTACAATCACATGCAGGAATTTCAAAATAATTGAGAAGCCAGTTTTTAAAAAATATAAACGGCCTGGTTCCATTAATATAAAATTCTCAAAAAGGAAAACTCATCTGAAGTAACAACAGAGAAGAGTTACAAAGGGACACAAGGAAAGAGGGTGATGAATGCGTTCATTGCCTTGATTGTGGTGTTGGTTTCTTGGGTGCACACGTATGTCAAAACTCATCCAATTATATACTTCAAATACTAGCAGTTTATTGGACATCAATTAAGCTGAAAGAGAAAGGATATACATACACATGAGAACAAACATTTATTATTTATTACACTTACTATGTGCCAAATACCGAAAAATGCCGGGGTGCACGCAGAGATGATGGACTCTCTTCAGCAGCATCAAGTCTTGAAGTGGAGTGGTTGAAAGAAGCCACAGTCATACACCTGCATACGACAATGTGAAACTCTAGCTCCAGTCGTGGCTTCTGCACACACTGGCTGTGTGTACTGGGCAAGTTACTTAATCCTTTTAAGTCTCGTTTTACTCTTCCATTAAATGGGCATAATAATACCTTACCCAGGGTGCTGTCGCAAGGAACAGGAGATGTATATGAAAATACGGATAGCACTGAGTACCAGCTTAATCAAAGGCTCTAAGGGTATTTCTTGTGACGCACACACTGGAGGAGCACAGAGGCAATGCTCTCCACCTGAAGAATTCAGGGAGGTCTAGACAGAGGCAGGGGCACGTGGGCGGAGCCTCGAAGAATGAATAGGATTTGCTGGGTGACAAGAGAAGGCTGACCTTTATCTGGAGAGAACAGCCTGAGCAGCTTGGAGGTGAAACACACTGCATTAGCAGCCCAAGGTGGCTGAGGGAAGCTGGGAGAGGGTGGGGGAGAGAGATGCTGGGGTGGCTGGTTGGAAGCTGATGGTTAAGGCCCTGGAACTCCAGAGAAGTTAGGGCTTTGCCTTGGGAGCACGCGGTAAAACAGACGATCCTGGCCACAATGTGGACAGGGAAAGGGAAAGCAGGGAGCTGGGAAGGTCTGGACCAGGGCGTGGAGGGAGTGAGAGCCCTCGCCTGGGACCGAGGGAGAGACGAGCTTTGAGGAAGGTCCTCTGGTTTCTGGTTTCAGGGGTGCCATCCCCAAGACAGAGCAGGGCATGAAGGAGAGGATTGGGAGCTTCGAGGACAGATAAAGACAGTGAGGCGAGTGCTGGACTAATGAGTTCGAGAGGCCCGTGGGGTGTTTGAGCGGAGATGTCTGGCAAGTAATCAGATGGAGAGGCTCTGGCCTTGGCTGGATCAGCCTGCTACCAGGGGCCACCCAGATGGTGACATCAGCTTGGGTTAGATGCCTGGGGACCATGTGCAGGAGGGAACCTGGGTGAGCTTAACTGGCTTCTCTGTATAGTTTAGTCAGCTTTGGGCTTTGTTTCCTTTTACTCTTGCCTCTTAAATGTAGTTTTTTTCATTGATCGATTAATTGATTCATCATTCATTTATTCACTCATTCAACAAATACTGAGTATGAGCTAGGCACAGTCACAGGGCTTGGAGATACTGAGATGAACCAGCAGTAAAGGTCCGCACCCCGGGGGAGTCAGCACCTCGAAGGTTGAACAGATGACCGAGAGTTACGAGGTCATGGAGCCGGAAAGGAAAGGGGGCGGGGTTTGGGATGGCGAGGTGGGAGGTGGGGCAGGCAGGGACGGCCCCTGGGAGGCGGGGCCACCAGAACTCACTTCGCTCTCTTCTCCCCGCCCCCATCAGTAGCTTTGACACGTGATGTGTCCTCCTTGGAGGGTTTCAAACCCCCATTTCAGCCCTGGGCTGGACCCCTCCACTTGCACGTCCTCCTCTCTCTGCAGGCTGCCCCAGCTGCTCCATTTCTCCTGGTGGCATCTCCAGCGGGCAAGTCCCGCAGGCCTCCTCTTTCTCACTCGCCTCTCCCTTCCGTCTCCTGCCCCGCTCACGGTGGCCCTGGCACCAGGCCGCTCTCCATGTCAGCTTCCAGACCCGCCGAGCTTGCTGGGCCCCTCATTGCTCCCTGCTCATCCACCGTCACTGGCCGCTGGGGCTGCCGTTCAGATTCCGTCCATGCTGTCCTCGCCTGCCTCCATCCAACCTCTGACACCCACATCCCGCTTGACTGGCAGTCTCCGCCTTCCCCCTAAAGGAACCACCAACACTCCCCTCACCATCCCTCCCCACCCCCGCAAACACCAGTGTAAATCCCACTCCTCCTTCAAGGTCCAGCTGAGAGGCATCCTCGGAGCAGAAGCCTCACCTGACTGCCCTCTGCTGGCGCTGCAGACACCCCTGCCTCGGCCACCCTCCCGAATGTTCCCTGAGCCTCTCCGGAGGCCTGCAAGCTCTGCCTCCTGTAACGGTGCGACCCGAAGCCATGCTCTGGTTCACTCAGCTGACACAGGAGGGCCACCTTCCCCGCTCCCCACCCCCCAACTCAGCAGACGCGTGTGCACACATGTGAGAGCCCTAGTCACAGACCCGGGTGTTGTTACACACTCGCCTCACATGAAGAGTGGCTCTTACAAAGTGTCACTTGGGGGCAGTGACTCCTTTTTCAGTATAATTACTCCCCTTCCCCCACCCTTTTGTTTCTTTTTTAATAAACTTTATAGTGTTTTCAGATTTATGGAAAAGTTGCAAAAACAGTATGACGAGTTATAATGACTTTTCTTTAACCAAGAAACATTTTTCACTTTTACAGATAAATTCACTATTACGTATGGGATTTCAACTGTATGGTTTCAGACGAAGAAACTCAACGCAGCAGTTTGGAACAATCTGGAACAAATGAAATCACGGACCATATTCAGATAAACCCAAAGTGCTTTTGCTTTGGACAGCAGTCCTGCCGAGTGAGAGGTGGGGACAGAGAAGAGGCTGGGAACAGGTGGCACTGGCTTTGCAGGCCAAGGGCAGGGATCTGACTTTGTACTGAGTGAAATGGGGGCGTCAGAAGGTCTTGGGCGGCAGAGGCAGGCGACCCGACTTACGTTCTTTCTCTCTCGGGTACCTGTGAGGACGGTGGATTGCAGGGGGCAACGGTGGAAATGGGGAGACCAGTGAGGTGGCTGCCGCAGAGGCCCAGATAAGAGAGGCTGGTGGCCTGGCAGGGTGGGGTGGGGTCAGTGAAGGGTAGTCAGAGGTGCCGGGTGGTTGGAGCCCGAGCACCTGGTGGCTGCGTGGGATGTGAAGTAAGCATGGTGAACCTGGCTTCCAGCCCGGAGGGGTGGAGTTGCCATTTGCCACTGGATGAGGCTGAGCACTTTCATGGGCATCGAGAGCTCAGTCTGCGGAGCCCATTGCACAGCCAGGCAGAAGCACAGAGGCTGGGCTCGGAGAAGGGCTCCACGGTGGTGGGAGATGCAGATGGCATTTAAAGCCCCGACTCTATGAGGTGACCAGGGTCAGACCACTATCCAGCCTTAGGCCTCAGCTCTGAAGCCCTCCCTTAAAGCCACCTGCCTCCCCGCTACCTCAGTGCCTGTGCTCAGAGACAGGACCCCCCAAAGGAACCGCTGGGCGGCAGTGTCACAGGCCTGCCATGGTGGCCCAGCAAATAGAGTGGCCAGGACAACAGTGTGGCAGCCCGTCAGTTCACACCAGAGTGCTCCTGCTCTGCCCCCAGCCCTCTGCCCTCCTCCTTTAGCTCTCTGTCCTTCCTTCTCCTCCCCAGACCCCATCTCTTCATTTTCCCACCCGGGAGGGATGACCCACAGCCAGCCCTCCTGGCAGCCCAGGTGCCCCCAGAAGGTGGAGTCAGAAAGGAGAGTGGGGAGGTGTTTCTGGTCTCTCCTGAGCCCCCGGTCCTTCCCAGGACCTGCCTTGAATCTGGGACAATGGCCAGCAAGCCTGGGAAGGAAGATGTGAGGACAGAGAACAGAGGGGATGAGGGGGTCCCACTAGGGGGATCCCACCCTACCCTGACCAAGACTGCTTTCCCCAGGGAAGTAATGCTGTAGGGTGGGGGTAGGTGGCGGTCATGGTAGAAGTCAGCAGGTTCTCAGGGTAGCCCACCTTGGAGCTGAAACGGGTATTCTGAGGACCCGGTGTCCCTGGGAACCAGGTATTCCCTGGCCCAGGCAACACACATGCAAACAGGTGGCTTGAGCTGGACCTATTTCTGCCAGGTGGAGCCAGGCCAGGGGGAGATGATGCTGTCCCTTCATCCCTCCACCCACCAGACTGTCCCATCCCGCACCCCCTCGCTCATTCACTCATAACAATGATACAGCATACCACCAATACTCGATAGCTGAGATTTTAACCCAGGCAGCCTGGCACACACGCACTCACTCTCAACACATTCCGCGGCCTCCTATGAGTGGGCCCAGTGACAGATCAGACATGGGCCTTGTACTCAGTGAACACGCGCCATCAGCCCTGACTTACGCTCATGAATGCTGGGCGCCCGGGAGTCAGAACAAGGGCCACCAGGGCTGGGATGAGAGTAAACTTCCTGGGGGAGGAGGCGTCTGAGCTCACAAGCTGCTTCTGTTTCATCCGAACCTCTCGCGGAGGCTTCCAGGTGGGAACCCTCCCAAGTATGAAGCTCTTGGCACCCTGCGCTCCCCCAGCTACAGGGATGGCCAGTCCTCAGAGCTGCCCCCAATGTCCCCCACAGAACACATCCTGCCTCTCTGCCCCATGCAGTTCAGCAGCCTCCTTTCTCCTCCACAGCTCCGCCCTGCCCTCTCCCCACCCCTGTCCCCTTCCTTTTCCTGACCCTCTGCCTCCTGCACAGCTTCTGCACTGCCCACCACCTCACTGCCCACCACCTCTGCCCTGGTCGAGCAAGCCACCAGTTTCCTCACTAGACATCCACAACTACTCCTGAGTGTCCTCTAGATCAGCGGTCCCCAACCTTTGGTTGCACCAGGGACCAGTGCTCTCATGAGAATCTAACGCCTGAGGATCTGAGGCGGAGCTGAGGCGGTGATGCTAGCGCTGGGGAGCGGCTGCAAATACAGGTGAAGCCTCCCTTGCTTGCTTGCTGGCCTGCCACTCACCTCCTGCTGTGCGGCCTGGTTCCTAATAGGCCGTGGACTGGTACTGGTCTACCGCCTGGGGATTAGGGACCCCTGCTCTATCTAGGAAATGCTTTTATTCCTTATAGTCCTTTCCCAGGCTGTTTTCTGATGGGTGTTTCTAACACGCAAATCTGCTTGTGTCACCCTCCTTGATAGCTTGTTTTCTTCCAAATAGTCAACCTCCATAACCGACCGAGGGGCCTTCTGTGACCTTCTCATGCGCACTTCCTGGCTCCATCTTCCCCACCTCGAACCAAGGGCTCCTTCCAAGTCTCCCCACAGGAGCCATCTGTTGGGTAAGATTTTAATCTACAAACAAGTGTCATCAGATAAGCCCAAAGCAGAGAACTTGGTGCGTTGTTACACACCTCAATCTGCTGTGGGTAATGTGAAACTCCTTCGGGCGGGGTGAATGCTGAACAACGTACGCTTTGTGCAGATTCTGTTGTATTTTGGCTTTACTCTTTGAATCAGGAAGCATGTTTTTCTTTAATCATCTCTATTGTTTACATACAATAAAATATATATATTTTATATGAGTCCTGACAGATTTACCCATGTAACCTCTACCACAGCCAAGATCTTACAGAATCCTTAATTGTATTGTTTCTCTATGTTTATTCTTATGTCAGTACCATACTGTCTCGATTATTATTGTTTTGGAGTAAGTTTTGAAATTAGGAAGAATGAGTACTTCGGCTTTGTTTTTTTTCAAGATCGTTTTGACTATGCTGAATCCCTTGCAATTCCATGTGAATTTTAAAATCAACTTGTCAATTTCTACCAAGAATCCAGCTGGAATTCTGATAGGGATTATGTTGATCTGTAAATTGATTTGGGGAGTATTACCATCTTAATAATATTAAATTTTTGATCCTTTAATGTGGGATGTTCTCTCATCGACATATTCTTTAATGTCTTTCGACAATGTTTTGCAGTTTTCGGAGTCCAAATTTTTGCACTTTTGTGAAATGTATTTCTAATTTTTTTATTCTTTTGATCCTATTGTAAGTAGAACTGTTTTAATTTCACTTTCAGATTGTTCATTGCTAGTGCAGAAATACAATTTATTTTATATTGATCTCGTGTCCTGCAAACTTGTTCAACTCTTTTATTGATTCTAGGAGCTTTTTCATGAATTCTTTAGGATTTTCTATGTACAAGATCATGTCATCTGCAAATAGAGTTTTACTTCTTCTTTTCCAGTCTAGATGCTTTTTATTTCTGCTCGACTAGTTGCCCTGGCTGAAACCTCCAGTACAAAGTTGAACGGAGGCAGTGAAGTGAAGGTCCTCATCTTGTTCCTGACCTTAGGGGGAAAGCATCCAGCTTATCACCATCAAGCATGATGTTAGCTATGGTGTTTTCACAGATGTCCTGATTAAGTTAAGAAAGCCGCATTCTCGCACTGCCTGAACACTGCCCACGTGTATTTGGGAAGAATGCATATCCTGCTGTGCTAGGTCTCTTTCACTGTCAAGAACTCTTGTGATTACATTGGGCCCACCCAGATAGTCTAGGATAATCTATCTTAAGGTCAGTTGATTAGTAAATTTAACTCCATCTGCAACCTGAATTCCCCCCTTTGTCACATGACATATTCACAGGTTTTGAGAATTAGGATATGGACATTTTTTTTTCTTGGAGGGGGGCGGTCATATCATTCCACCTACCACAACAGGCCAGAACCCTGAGAAGCTCCTTTTTTAGGTATTGTATTTTCTAAAAAACAAAACAAAAATACAACCATTTTGTCTTTGAAAAGGCAATTAGTATGAAGGCAAAGTAACTTTTACCTTAAAGTTATCCTCATATGTTTTTGCAGACATTGAAATGTTTTCTTGAATTCTGAGTATTTAGATTTAAGATGAAGTTCAAATACTTTCTAAAATTAAATTTGATTAACTGTCACATGAGATCCACCATTGTTTAATAGCAGCTTTTCTGTTTCATGACTTAAATCTCCTAAAATAAATAAAAAGAACACAAATGACAGGTTTTTCCTATGGTAAGTTGTCAAGAAACAGAGCATGGATCATTAGCGAGTAGCTCTGGGAGCTTGCAATGGGGTTGAATAATGAATATTTTCCCCAGAAGTCTTTGCGTCCCTGTTAGCTTAGCATTTCTATTTTTTTGGAGGAAAAGATACCTTATAGGCAAAAGACAGTTGGAGGACTTTCCAAAACATACATACATGTATTTATTGTGTGGGTATATATAATGAAATTATATGTATACATATATGGATGTATACATATATATATATAGACACGTTTATAAAAATAATTCATGCTCATTGTGAAAACTTCAAACATCACAGAATTAAATATTTTGAACTGTATGCAATATTTCACTATTTTTGACCTACAAACAGCAATTTATAGCTAATAATATAGGAAGGAGACCTCTCTGTAATCTCTGTCCTAGAAGAAACCACTGGCATTTGGCGTGTATTCCTCCAAATTTGAAGAGTACGTCTGCGCACAGTTATGGATAGTAGAGTTATTACCACAATTATGTAACATGGTAATTTTGCAACCTGCGTTCGAAATGCTTTGTGGAGCACAGCAAATCCTAGCACTGGTTGTGCTGCTTCCCCTTTCTGGAGCCTCAGTTTTCTCATCTGTAAAAATGAAACTAATAATTCTGTGCCCGTTGTTAGTTTATCGCCGCTCAGCTCCAAATTCATCATGTATGCTTTCTCTGTGGAAACGCATCTGGGTCCTTTTGATTTTTCCTTTGCCGGATGGCACAACGTTTACTTTTGCCAGTAGAGGACGCTGACAGCCATTTCTTGAGAAAGAGGCGTTTGCTTCCCGATTTTGACGAGCTCCTCTCATCCGGCTTCTGCCGCGGGGGCCAGTTTCTCTAGCTCAGCTCCTACCACGGGGGACGCTTTTTCAGCACCAGGCTCCCGCAGCGCGGGAGGCCGGTAGCACCCTTCCCCAGCACCCCAAAAGAGGGCTTTCCAGCAGCTGGATGGGGCCTGCGCAGCACTTCGGCAATTTCTCTACTATCCAATGAGCCACAGCCATTTCCTCTCCAACCAGATGTGGATCTCAGACCTGGGGCTGGATGGGGCTCTTGGTGGTGGTGGTGGTGTG